GTCCACTGACGTCAAATAACGCTCCATATAAATAGTTGAACCAGCATGTAAGGTATCAGATGGCTTCAACATGACTTTTCCAACTAAATCTACCTTTTCTGGGAGTGGAGTTTTTGCAGAAACAATTTCTCGTCCACCACCCTTATAAAATAAAAAGTTCAAAGGTAATCCACAAGTAGATGCCATTACAAAATTTTTTATCCCTACAGGTTGAGGTTGCCCCCTCACATACTGCTTCATACGAGCCTGTCTATGAAATGGAATCCTTTGTTCATCAATTGATACTAAATCAAGCCAAGTATGTTGAATGCACTCATTGTTCAGCATCAGCCTCAGTTTCCAGAATCTATCAGCATTCCTTTCTGTTTCAGTTACTACATTGTCATCAGCAATTTTCAAGTTAGAGCAAAGGGTGTAGAACCTATCTCTACTAATGTTACTGGCTACCAAAGGATATCGTGTTTGCCGTTCCCAAAACATTCTAATTTTTTGGAAACCAAGCAGTGACACTGCAATGCTAGCTGTCCAATACTTTCTAATCTCATCAGCATCTGTATTTAGTGATGTGCCTGTTGTTTAAAATATACCTTCTTGTAGTATTCTTGGCCATATTAATTTACTCTCAGATAAGAAGGCCTCAGTAAAACTTTGGCTGTTTAAAGAGGTGGCTGCTTAATTAGGGTTACAGGAAGCATAATCAAATGTAATGGAGTTAACAGCTATGAAATTAAATATACCTTCAATGATTTTCATTGCAATTTTGTTGAACTACAAAATACAATGCAAACAAGAAATCCAAGAACACCTTGACATCGACTCCTTTCCACTAGTGCTAATCACATCAATGACTACTCAATCATTTTCTCGTTTAAGAAATTCACTTCATGATTCGAACCAAACTCCTAAGCAAACTAGACCTTATGTTGCAATTCACATCCTCAAGAAACTCAATAAGCACCAACAGGGGGCCCTCTGAAAAGTGAATGACTTTTGGGTCAGTTGAGAGAAAACAGCATGGTCTGATAGCTCCAGACATTTCATGGGATAGCAAACGTCATGAGAATGCAGTGAAACGCACAAAGGGAACTGTTTGTTATTTCATTTAGACATATTTTTAAAATCTGTTACCAAAACAATTTAATATCCCTGTGAGAAGAACTCTTTCAGATTTCCCTGTTGGTAATTTTCTGACATTGCATCCTGTTGCGAGATGTTGAATCAACAAGAATCTCCACCACTTATCACTTTTCACTTCTTATTCTATTACAGTTCTAAATTGCTTGAGGTGATAGGATTAAAAAAAATAAATATATTTTTTGAGTCACATATTCAATTACAATCCTGTATGACGAGTCAATATGATATCTTGGGTGGAGAGAACGAAGTTACATTACTCGTCAGGAGCAAAACAAGGAGCTATCTTAGCATTTGCTCAAGGGACCCGGGAAACTGAACAAAATCCTGATCGAGATGGAGTCATTGGCCTAGGAATTAAACTACAATACTTGCTTCAGATATATTAGGATATTATACAGTAGATAATTATTTTTAGTAGCATATAATTTAACATTTCAAGATTCGTACAGTTTCATGTTTAAAGTAAAAGTAAAATTTACTTGTTTTGTCATTTTGACATTGTCATTTCACTGCTACTACTTATAATAACAATAATATTAAAACAATATTAGTACTTTCTATGTTTGAAACTTGAAATGGTGAGGAGGAAGCAAGTTTTGACCAGTTATTTGTTCTTTCCATTTGTACACCTAGTCCTATTGCAGCACCTAATGCATCTAGCAAATCCAGAGAGAAACAGAAATGTTTGTCAGGCATTCTCCTTCTACAGATACACCAGTTCTTTCTTCTTTGTTTCAGCTTGCAACAGTCAACATGAAACAGAAAGTCAAATGGAATAAGACATTTTTATTTATTTATATTTCTTTAAGGAAAATATTATGATTTGAATATTCCTTCTCACTGTAGAACATGTTGTTAAGCAGGAAAGCGTTGCATTTATTTTTAAATGTATGAATTGTGTTTGTCTTCAATATCATTGCCCAGTTTATTTTAAAGTGTAATGCCCTCTATTAGGGTACTTTTTTTATAAAGAGTAGTTTCAGAGTGGGGAACATATAGGTTATCCTTTTGACGAGTGTTGTAGTTGTGTACATTGGAGTTAAGAGTAAAAGTGTCTTCGTTTTCCATGAGAACTTTTTTGTGATGACCATTATTTCAAATACATACATACATGGCAGAGGAAGAAGCCTTAGTTTATTGAACAACGGTTTGCAAGACTCCAGCTTATAAGTGCTGATCATGGTTTGCAGAATTATTTTTTGGATAATAAATGTGTGAGTGCTTACAGGGTATTTCCTCGGAATATTATTCCATATTTTAGGTGTGAGTGCACATTTGCAAAATACATTCCTTGAAGTGTCTCAATATTGGAGCTTGACCTGAGGGTGTAAAGGACATAACATGATTTGGTGAGCTTCTTGTTAAAATTTGAGATGTGAGCATTCCATTTTAGGTTTTTTTGAATTGTTAGATCAAGGAAGGTAGTTTCATGAGATATCATTAAAGGGTTATTATTTATGAGCAAATGTTGTGAGAGTTTTTCTTTAGATCGGGGATTCATGAAATTTAGAGAGACTGTCTCGCTGGTGTTTATGATGAGTTTGTTGTCTTGAAACCAATTTACTAGTGCTTGCAAAGTTTTGTGAGTTTCTTTTTCTAATGATTGTTGTGTTTTTGCTGTGATGATTATGTTTGTGTCATCTGCAAACAAAATTATTTTGTTATTCCTTAAAGCCAAAGGCATGTCATTTACGTATATAAGGAATAGTATTGGCCCAAGGATGGATCCTTGCAGGACTCCACAATTTATCATTTGACAGCAGGAGTAGTATGAGAAGCTTTTGTGTTCTTTAGTGTGCTGGAGGGCAACTATTTTGCTACAGTTTGATAAATATGATTTGATCCATTGGCCTGCAATGCCTTGAATTCCTAGTATTTCTAGTTTTCTTAAAAGTTTGTGATGATCAATAATGTCAAAGGCTTTTGACAAATCTAGGAAATGGCTAATGGGATTTTCCTACTGATTTAGTGCAACAAGGATGTAATTTAAAAAGGAGAAGATAGCTGCTTCTGTGGATCCATTACTTCTGAAGCCAAGTTGTGCATTTGTAAGGACATTATTTGCATTGAGAAACTGTTTGAGTCTATCATTGAAAAGCCTTTTCAGAATTTTAAAAATCATGATAACAGGGAGATAGGTCAGTAGTTCATTGTATCATAACGATTGCCCTTTTAAAATAAAGACTTAATTTTTGCAATTTTGAATATATCTGGTTATATGCCTGTTTTTAGAGAGTAATTGCAGATATGAGAGAGTGGTTGCACTATACATGGAGCACTGTGTATAAGTGGTGCACCTTTTGATAAAAAAATCTGGAATGTTGTCCAGGCCTCTGAGAATTTATTCGCCATTTGTCCCAATGATTTTAAAAATTTCAGAGGGGGTAGTTTCATATAAAAATATGGAGTTAACAATTTGTGTAACATTAGTGTTTGGTTGGTGTGTTTTTTGTTTAGAGAGTGTTGAGAGACTAACTTTCTTCTAGTTTGTGAAAAGGGTTCATTGAATATATCGGCTATTTCTTGTGGGTCTTGTACAGTTTGGTTTTTGTAGTGGAGTTCTATATTTTTTCTGTTATTATTAGTTGGTGCTATAGTCTTTTTAATAATGTCCAACATAGCTTTTGTTTTATTATGTGTATTTGCAATGTACTTATCTTTTGTCATAATTTTTGCTTATTTGATTATTTTTTTAGGATCAAATGTTATCAAATTTTGTAACATGAAGTTTGAGTTAAATTTGTTATTTGTTAGTATTTTATGCATGTTGCGTTTTCTTTCACATGACACACTGATTCCTGTGGTTATCCACGATTTACTTTTCTTATTGACAATCTTTTTGAGTTTTTGAGGAAAAATGGCATTGAAATGTCTTAAGTATATATTTATAAATGAATTAAATTTATCATTTGTATCGGTTGCCTTATATACTTCATTCCATTTAAGAATCGGAATAAGTTTTGAAATTTTATTGTTTTCTTGGGAATAGTAACTGCTTTCTTTGTATGTTGTCTGATTGCAATTTTTATTTTCGTTTCAAGTGTTAGAATCTGGGCAGTGTGGTCTCAAAAACCTGTATTAAATGTAGCAATAGAAAAACTATGGTTATGTGCATCTATTACTATTTGATCTATAACAGTGCTACTATTTTTGGATATTCGAGCTGTTGTATTTATGGTTGTTTGTAAATTGTATGATTTTAGTAGGTTTTTAAATAATTTGCATTACTGGATTGTATGAGGCAATTTATATTGAAGTCGCTGCAAAAAATAATTTTATACTGTCTGTGTTTTTGAAGTTTTGTTAGAATAACTTCCAGATTTTTTAAAAAGATTTTCAAATTCCTAATAGGGACACGATATGTGCATAAGACTCATGTTTTTATTGTTTTTAAGTCAGTGATGGATATTTCAAAGTCTCTCTCTTTTATAACATGAGTGTGACTGGTGTAGGGTACAAATGCTCTCTTATATGATGGTTTGAAACCTTAATTTCATTTTTTATAGGGGGGCCAGGGGGCAGAGTGGTCATGATTACATTAGTGTGTTTGGCAGTCTCTTGTATTTTTGTTAAGTGTTAAGTAAAATAGGTCAATATTCAAATATGCTTGGCTAAGAGACCAGGCGGCATTTTAAAACTGGTAATATTTACACGTCTAGTAGAATAATTAATCGTTTTTACAAAAAAGTAACTATTTATGGAGTTGGCCATTTAATCAAGGTGGCTGTTTGAGCACATTTCATTATATGTTGTTTTTCTGTAAACAATTTTATATAAATTACAACAGTTGAACATAGATGTGTGCACAAAGGGAAAGAGGGGGGTGGAGGGGGGGGGGGCGCTCTGCAAACTTTGAAAGGAACCCAGTTGTGTTGCAAAATAAGATTTATTTCATAGGTATATATATATATATATAGTCTCTGTTTTATTTCTTTTGAACCTGACAGTATGGGAAATGCAATATGTTGGGGTAGAGACTATCCAAGCCACCAGACAAGAATATAAATGGTTTAATATAAAATCAATATTTATCAATTGTATCATTAGTTATAATTTCATTCTTGAATCTATTTTATTCATTTACTAGTAAAATCATGTGTAAATAAAGAAGTTTAAATGAAAAGGGAGCTAAAAAACATAGTTACGCTCCTCTTGATTTAGAGCTGTTCACATCTAACAGGTGAATTAGTAGTTGATCTTAAAAAAAGGTACAAGTGTGGCCCAGAGCATTGTTTTTGTTTCAGGATCAACATTGTACTTTTCCACTTGGTTATCACTCTTTTGAAACCTTAAGGGAACTATTTATGTTCAAGAAATTTAACAATTTACCTGGCTATGAGTGGATGTCTCATGTTCAAATATACCCTGAAAGCACCCACAGATGACTGGTTTTGCCCATCTAATTTTACTGTTGTCTTGCGTTCTCAGCTCAGTGACAGTCCAACTCGGCTTCTAACTCTCTTCCCCTCTGATCCATTTGTGACTTGCACTTTTTTCTTCTTTTTCTTTTTCTGGTGCGAATGTTGTTATGAACAGGATTACACCTTCAGGATGTAGGTAATCTCTAAAAATTAATGATGCATTCCATGCCAGGGTAACAGGTTTCTGAATTCATACAGAAATTAAAAAAACTAGAAACACGGAAAATGCAGAGAAATGGCTAGCTACATCAAAATATTTGCTTTTAATATGAAACTATTCCAGTACAACGAAAGATGAATCTTAAATCATAACTTTAAAAATAACTTTATAGTTTAAAGATATATTTAAATTGATATTGGTTGTCAATATTCCTTTTAAAGTGTAATATTTAGTTTGCATTTGGCAGTTTAAAGATTCAAAACTGTGAATTTCATCTCACACGTTTACCTTTAATGTTAAAGGAAATATTATTAATTGTCCTAATCATTTATTGCATTTTGCTTGGTAAGTGGTCTGTTCGTGTTTTCCAGTAGACCTGGTGGGATTTTAGTCCTTCCAAGTGTTCCTGATCTAACCATTTTTTACATGGTCTCTCCATGTTTCTTCGCATTAATGGTTTATACTTTGACTCAGTCTTCTGGGAATCTGTCTTGCTTCATTCAATTAATGTGAGAAAATAATTTTTTCTGACATCCCTCTATTCCCTCGACTACATAATTTGTTTTAAGCGGTTTTCTGACATCCTTATTTCTTTACTGATCTTTTAATGTGACTCCTGCAAGACAGCGTAGAAATCTCATCTACATGGGTGTAGTTGTAGCCGATCCCTTCTTTTCATGGTCCTAACTGCTGATCCAAACAGGAATATGCACATTGGTTTTGAAATCATTTAATGTATTTTTAATTTAATCTCTTGAGTCATATCCATTCCAAAATGTCATTTAATTAGATCAATTTTCTGTTGTATTTCTGGATTTTATTTTTTATGTCCTATGATCTGCAACAAATGACATTGCCTAAATAATTAAATTTGGATACTTGTTCTTTTTGTTCATTAATGGCAATTTTGACTCTATAATTTCTTTTCCTTGATATACGATTGATTTTACCCTGCAGGGGAAATTTATACGATACTTTTCAGTGCTGTTTCATGCCATTTATTTGCTCGTAGGTCATCTGATTTCATTATTATAACTACACCATCTGTGTAGAGGATTGTTTGCATCTTCTTTGTGAGAAATTATTTCCCAGTTGATTGTTAGTTTCCTTTCCCTGATTATATAGTTGGCACATAGTATATTGAATAGGCATGGTGACAGAATATCCCTGTCGCAGTTTTGACATGTCATCCGTGAGTTTTTTACCCCCGTTTTTATTTGTTCCGTGGTAATTCCATCTACTCCTATTCTTTGTTGTTTTTTTACTAGTACCCTTTTAAGCTCTTCTTTTGATATGTAGCACTATTTCCCATTCTTCAATTTTTGTGTTGTCCATGCTTGAGTCTGTCATGTCATGCACATTTCATAATGTCTTAAAAGAGTGCTGTATCTACTTCTCCTCAGGAATGTTACACAATAAAATTAAAAAGGACACACTTTTATGGTGTTAAATGTACTCAAGTGACATGATCTACAAAAGCTGATGCAAACAAATCTAGAATTACTAAGAGGTAACTTAAGGAAAACAGATTTAGGAGACCAGTGGATACCCTTCACAATGCAATATGGCATTCCAACAAAAATTGTTGTATTTAGTTGCATCTACACAACTAATAACTATCAGTAGGGCATTATCTCAAACAAATCTTTTGAGACTCATTATTGGGAAGGGTAGTAGGAATGTTAAAAATTTGCTAAGTTTACAATAGCACAAGCAGCCAGGAGCTAAAATTGCCATTGGTTTTTGAATGAATATCACCTTCAGAAGAAGAGTGGAGTTTTACTACATGAAATAATTTTTTGATAAGGAACCATATCTTTATTTTTATATGCAAGGCATTCAGTCTTAAAAGCTCTAATACAAGTTGGTCCACTAGGAAATTCAATTTTACACACAAAATTCTACGAAAAGTGTTGTAAACATTGTGAATTAGACACATAAAAGTATTTCACATAAAGAACATTTAGTATGAGTGAAAGTATTGGAATGCTTTTTTTTAATTACTATGTAGTACAATGCAATTCGTAAAACATGAAGAAAAAAAAAATATTAGTGGTCTACCTGAAGTCACACACAACAAATATGAAGTCTTCAGTTATTAAAGAGAAGAAAGAACTTCGAATTTGACTCCCCGCTCAATTAACTGTTGAATCAAAGAAGTTTTAGCAAAAGCAGCTCCAGGTGGATATACACCTCCCCTATAACAATGAAAAATTAAATTACACATTTATTACAATTAAAACAAAATTGTAGTGCATTTCTTCATTTATATATAGGACAAACACAAGCCTGACATCTTATCTGCATATATCTTTTCCCATTAAAAATGTAATACATTTCACAGGGGGTATATAATATTGATACACGCAAGGTATCAGTAGTGGTCTTGTAAAAGAGGACTCTTGTTTTCTGACATTTTACAATTTTTGTTTCCCCACAAGTACAAGTAAAATGCTAATTGTTTAAGTAAGGCAGTCCATGGGAGAAAAGAAGTGGTGTAATAAAAATAAATGTAACCATCCTAGGTATAGGTTAAGGCAACAGATGTTTGCCTTTCCTTAAGTGTTCTTGAAGTTGGTAAAAGCCTCTGATATTAACTAATAGATACGAAATTAGATTTTTCTTTTTCTTTATTTCCACCAACTTCTGCAACATGTCATAAAGTTTTAGTTCCTAGAAGAGGAAAGAAATGTATGAATTGCAAACTTTGTCTTCATGACGGGTATATATTGTTACTGGTAGTGGTGTTGTGTCAATGGATGCGAGTGATGCAGTGCATTCCTTTATGTTTTATGACTTCCTATCTTTACAGAGTATGTTTCTCATTCTCCATGCAAAAAAATATTTTTTCTTTGGAGGCTTCAGACCACAGTACAGATTACAGTACCTGGTTTTAAAATACCGTGAAGTTGCATCCGTTCCCTATCCTGCGGCAAGGCCAATGAACTTCGAGAATGTTGACTATTGCGGATATGGGCTTGCACATCACCTGAGTGATGCGATTCCACAATCATATATGAAGTTGGAGGAAGCAGTTCAAAATGTTCTTCAGCAGGGGAATATACTTATAGAGCAGTTATACATCTTAATTAAAGTAACTTTTTCTTCAAGCTTTTAGACAATGTTGTCAAGTTCGAATTTTTGACAATTGGGGTGAATTGGAGCTTTTATGACACAGAAAAACAAACTTTTCACCTTATGTTCTATACCATTTGTAGAAAACATGAAAAAACTGAATATGTCCCTTTTGGTGCTAAATACATGTAGGAAGTAACAAATAACTTATAACTCTTGAAAAAAATCAAGTGTGTAGCCTCCACCTCATGGGGGCTCATATGAAACATTGATGTGACTAAAGCGATACAGCTGAATATATCTATTAATTTTTAGTGGGAAACAAGCAGGCTGGAGTATTTTTTTATCATTTGCTGTGCCCAAATACTGGGATATTTTGAGTTCCTGCTACATGGTCATTAATAATAGAAAATATTTCCTATTATTTTGCTACTTTTTTTTTTGTTAATTTTGGATATCAATACATAACTATACAACACCATCTGAGCACAAGGTCTCAGTAAGTAGTGGAGGCAACAAGTGTATTATTGACAAACTGTTTACTATTGCTTTTTGCTTTTCATTGCATCCCCTACATGATCTTTCAAAGATACAGCTGGTTACTGGCCTATCTAATAGTTATTAAAGAAACAAGTCAAGTCCAGGCATCATTATAGTGTACTATCAAAAGTGCACCCTTCAATAGTTTATCTATAAAGACACCAAATATTTTTTTAAATATTTCTTTTTTATATTAATCAACAACTGGACGCGGAATGTGTTCATTTGAACAATAACAATTTCAATTTGTTTTATTCCTGTGAGAGCAAGAAGCACTGCAAAAATTTCATTGTTAACATTTTAAAAATATTTGTAGATATGTTTTAAAATTCTCCATATTTTCCCTTGAATTCCTACCTAAAAAGTGCGATCAATTTATAATTTTTTGTGCTGAACATAGTAAGCCTTGGGTTGCTCTGAATGCTAACACAGAAACAAATGTAAACAACAAACTATTTCATTATCATATTTAACATTCAAATTCAAAAGAAACCCACCTGCTTGGCATTTTATCACTTTCCGTCAAACACATAAAAGCAGTCATGACTAACATGGTAGTTGTAGCACCATATCCTGGATTACGACCCGTCACCTATAATTGGAAATTTTCATACAAGCATTGAATATATATGTAATTTTTATGAAGTGTGAAAGCCGTCATAGGTTACCTTCACAGACATAGTTTTGTTAGGAGGCTCAGTAAAATGGTCTGTTGGTTCAGCAAGCTTCTCCTTCCAGCCTTCACCACGTACAGTCAGAGCAAAAAACGTGTTTTCTGCAGCCTCTTCTGAAGGGCCCTCATGGCTTATCATGCCAAGGGAAAACAGACTAGGATACTGCAACATGACAATTAATTCTAAAAACATGTATATGTTTAGTCAGTAAATTGAACATCCATCTTAACACTAAGCAGAAACTGATTAAAAACAATTTACACTATCAGGGTGGCCGACAAATAGGTAAACTGAATTTTTACTTGACTGTGTTTGTTTATCTTATTAATTTATTTAATTCACATGTAATGAAAACCAAAAAAATTATATTTTGCATCATGTTGCTGACTATTTGTTAAATGTTGATAACCATCTATCCGTGTATGTGTGAGTGTGTATGTCTGCACATGTGTAGTCGTGATGGAAAGAAAATTTCAAACTACATTCAGAATAAAATGTATATTAAGTAAATACATGAAGAAGGTTCCTCCCATATTTCAAACATTTCTAATTGGGTTCAAAACGTTTGAACATGTTTAATGAGAAGATGCAATATAAATGAAAAAATATCAAAGAAAATGCAAGACTGTCCAGGCAATTCAAAATTCCCTCAATTTTCCATTATTCTCATATGGTGAACAAGCTTGAATGAACTGCAGCAAATTTTGGAAGTTTTCCCCACACAAACTGAAAGATATCAAACATCTATTCACAATTCTTCATTCATCATATCTTTATTCAAAGTATCTGAATAGTGCTAACCTTTAACTTTCTCAAATCCAGTGTTAGTATACATCTTTTAATACTCACCTTCAGCAACAAGGATCTACCACAACGGAATCTGGCGAGTACTGCAAACACAGCTCCAACCAATGCTACAACGGCAACAGCAAACAAGGATCTGAATGCAACATAGCTCAGTACTTGAGCTGGTCTCTGATTGTTCTTGTCAAAAAAATGCCGTTGAGATCGCAATATGACCGATCGATCAGACCCAGGAAAGGGTACACACCATCCTTGAACTACATCACTGCGGTGAATTGCAGATCTGAAAATGCAATGAATTTTTGGTATTATATTTGCAGTTGAGGGAATTGAAACAAACTAAATTGAATGTTAGGATACTACAGCTGAACAATTTTTTTTATATACATCATTTTCAATGAGAGATACAACTCTGAGGCACTGGTTTTGAGCACCAATTCAGCCCCTTTGCTGTGTGAGGATTTTGTTTATTGTCTACATGTTCTTAGGTTATAGTTGTTCCATCACAAATGACCATTAGTCTTGTGCTGTGGGCACTAAAAGTCTAGGCACTGAGTACCTACCTTGAAGATCAAAGTGGGAAGCATGCCTTTTTGGATAGTTTTAAGTGAGAAGAACAGCATCCCACCATGCCTTTAGTGTTAAAATAGGTAGGAGAAACTTACTATTTCAGCACAAGACAGAAGTATTATTTGTGCAACACAAATTTGTTTCATACATCAGTCAGATATGGTTTTGTTTAAATAACATTACTGAGATATCATTTAACATTAATTATTTTAAAAATAAAGCATACTTGCAGTAACATAATTTTTGGCTTTGTGCTGGTGTAAGAAACTACAACTACTACTTTGTAATGGTTATAATCAAAAGAAGAAAATTGGAACAAGTGGGTTTACTCTCTTCTTCTCACTTATAACTCAGTCAAGTAATATCTGTAGGGTTTCAACAAATCTGTAGAGGACCAAAATACAAATGTTTTGTATTTCCACCAAATGTTAACTATGATAATAACATTGAATTATACACAATCATGGAAAAATATTACTACATACATCCCTTCATGGCAATATTAAATGATTATTTTGTGGATCTTAATAATAAAAAGTTAAAATGTCAATTTGAAAAGCAGTGCCCAGCCCTTGGCTGAATGTCCCATGTACGTTTGTAAGTACCTGAGAGAGGAGAGATCTCGGGAGATAACCTAAAATGAATGAAGAAATGAAGCAAGGAAAGAAGGGCAGGAGTATGGAATGAAGGAAAAAAAGATAATTAGTCTACGATTCTACCTCAACATTAACTACTTCTCCACTTGAATAAAGAACTTTTGAAGCATACACATTCAGAGTAAATCAAAATGACCTTTGGACCAATGAAGCTGTGGGTCTTTTATCTATGAAAATGCCACTTTTGCAAAAATAAATTTGGGATTTGTTTTGAAATTACCAATGAAAGATTATACTGTCGGTTCAGAGTTCGAGGCCTTGTTAGAGTTATTGCCTTCATTGTCCATTTTTAAATGCTGAAATTTTGTTGCTGTATAATGAATGCATAAGGTGACATTTAAGTAAAGTGCTTCCTCAGGGTCATCTCTTGGGCAGTTGAGCAGGTGGCCTATGGTCGTGGGCATTGAACATTTTGTTAGCATGGGTGATGTCACTTTTCTTCATGGACAGGAATATGTTCAACACATGAAGGCATTTTTAAATCAGCTGTATACACAAGTGGTACTTCATTTGTTTGACATTCAATATCAGGTACGCACATTATTATTGTTGTTGTTCTTGTGAGTTTTCTGTACATGAGTATGTTTCATAATAAAGTTAAACAGAAATAGATTAATTAATTTCCAATTGTATCAATTAGTGTGACAAAATATCATAAATATATGTACCAAGTAATGTACAATTTTAAGAACAAGCAAAAGAAAATATATAATTAAATCTATATAAAACTATGTATTATAGCCAATACCTTTTGTGGTTCAGCTTTTTGTTCATAAATGAGACTCTAGAAGAAAAATGTAAATGATTGAGAAGTAAGGGAAGAAAAGAAAAGGTCAATATTGCTTTCTCTTTCGGATGGTGGGTAGGAAGAATGTACTTTTTGGCAAGTTCAAACTTTGGTTGACATGGATTGATTAGTGCGTTCTCACATTTTTAGTTCCTAACCTTCAGATTCGATTTAACTTTATATTGTATGAATCCTGTAAAAACACTCCAACTTTAAATTGAATCATCATTTACTGAGTAACAAGGAGAATTTGCATTCAGTAAGAAATATACTTTAAGATTGAAGTACCCACATCTGTTAACATTCTGTTTTTTTCTTACCAAGTAACACACATGCTAAATAAAAAAATCAAAATATACCAACTGCCAATCTCTACCTTCTCCAGCAATATTTCTATACATGTATACACATGTGATCCACTGAATTAATTGCTAAGCACCTATAGCACTTATTCTCAATGCCACTTACACTTCACAAAATAATATGTTTCATTGACTTTATTTCTCTTAAATAGTGAATCATTAACGCAAATTTTAATGCAAAATTTTATAAGCATTTGTCAAATACCTTGGCTTTAGTTTGGGTTTTAGTTGAGGAAGTCTATTTGGAAAAAGTTTAGTTCTTAATGGCCTGAGTTCATTGGCATGTGCAAGTCCATAAACTGCTGATTCCCAAGTTCCATAATGTATTGCACTCTGTAAAAACATTGAAGAAATTTCACTCACATTAGTAAAAGTCAACCTAGTGTTTTCTTAATACTTTTGCCAATCTTTTCACCCAAAAACCAAGGGAATGAAGGAAACCAATTGATAAAACTTGCCAAACACAAATTTTGTAAAGGGATTAGAAAACACATTAAAAATATTCTTCGAATTACAACTTACAATTACAATCTAATTTAAACATTTTTCCAATTACAATTTCATGCAAAATACTTGAGTTTGTAAACTTTTCCCATGAAAATTCCAGATACAACCAAATTAATATATTTTTTGGAATGACAACAACAAAACTAAAAATATTTCAATGAAAGTACACAATATAAATCTAAGCTTGTTATAAGATAATACGAAACAATATGTTACTACAAAATCATGACGACTATTATGAGTAAAATACAGCAAAACAAATAGCAAATTTAAAACACATAAGGAAAGTGGTTATTGCAAAGGCATAATAAGTTTTTACATGAAGCCCATAGCTTAAGAAATTTAATTTATTTAAATAAAAGAAAACTTACTCCTTTATGATGACCCTTACTCCAGGCTTCCAAATACGTTTCAACAGAGTTAATGGTACCTGACAAACAAATAATCCATTAATATTTTTTTTTTTTTTACTTTTATGTCAAAGAAAAATTGTGTCTTGACTCTACCTTCAAATTTATCCTGAAGAAAAACAGTTCCAATATCTGCTGGAATACTATCAAATCCACAAGCACTAACAATATAGACACCCTTCTTCTCCGCAGCTTCATGGTATTCAAGTTGCATTCTTTCCATGTACTGAAACATTTGTATTCAATACGTGAACGATGGGCTAACAATACACCAAATAAGATGTAAAAACCTTTTACACTTCTATTTAAAAGTCTTCTAATAAATAAATAATTTTAATCCGACCTGAGGTTCTCCACTGACATCAACGTGATGTGTGCCACTTGCAATACATGCTTTTACTACAGGTTCTCCATAAAAACGATATGGACCAGCACAGTTCACTACAACTTTAGCTCTTGCAGCCATTTTTAACAAAGTTTCTTCTTTTGAAACATCAGCAACTATTATTTCAATGTTGCTTAGATCTTCCCCTAAACATTAAAATATAAGATTAAGATAATGTAACATACCACAAAGAACTTGTAAGCTTACCAGTTTAAACTTAAAAGTTTACAAAACCCTTTCCCAGATTTTTCAATTATTAGAAACGTCTTCAAAAACTAGGGCCAAAATTTCTTACCCGATTTCTCTGACACTTCTTTAAGAACATCTCGCAGTTTCTTTTCATTTCTTCCTGACACACCCCAAGATAAGCCACCTTTATCCTTGGACAATTTAAGAACTTCATGCACTGCATATTTTCCAGTAAAGCCAGTAGCACCAAAGACAACAATGTCTAATCTTGGAATACTCATTTTGTTCTGCAGAAAATACCAAGAGATTAATCTTATGGAAAAATAAACGTAGAGAAATAACAAAATTATGATCGATGAATATGAATTCGCTATGTTTTAAGATTATAATATTCTATGACAGTAAGAATGTTCAAAACAATAATAAAACATATCTTTAATAATTCACGGATCTATTTAGCAATGCTATCTCTTACTGAAAAATTCAATATTAGGTCAGAATGGTTTTCAAACACCGTTCAAATTGATGCCGAATTGACGAGAACTTCAGGAAGCACTGTTATACGAACGTATAACATACATAACAAATACCGGTGATTACAATATGCTTAGTCAGTAAAACTCATAAAATATCGTACCTTAATCTTATGTTATCATAAACTGGCCAAAGGTTTACTGATTGATGTAGCGGCTCCAACCCAACGGAGGACCGGCTCGATTAGTCTTGTCGTGGCCTCGTCGAGCAGCTGGCACGAAACGCAGAAACAGACACGTAGCGCGCTATTTAAATGGCAGTCATTCGCGAACACGTGAGTGGGGGTGGGATGTTATAAAGTGCATTTTGCATCATGAATGTAATCAAGAGCTCTCTAATAAACAATCTTGGGTGGAATCTCGGGGGAGTGAAATGAATGGAAGAACGGCGGATCAGTGTAACTGAAAGTTAATGAAATTAACTTACTGTAATTTTAATTAATTTCTGGACTGACTTTGCTTGATGCTTTATGTAAGTTTATAAGCAATAAAATTATTATTATTATTATTATTATTATTATTATTATTATTATGGGGGTTCAGTGGAAGGGGAGCTCGAAGCACATTCCAGCTAATATTACTTTCTCGTATACGTATAAGTATGTAGCTTGTGTACGGAGTAATACAAGTAGTATAGAGGAAGTTATGTAAAGCTGCAGCCAATCGATTTCGAGATTTCAACGGAAATACACGTTTTGGAGTCTCCTGGTACCATTCGTTCTCTACTTATAAAGATGATCTAGGTCTAATATTTACAAGGAGAAGCTCTAAATAACTGGAAGAAAAAAAGGATGGGAAAAAAATTAAATGACGATATGTTATATTCACTAAATTTTGCAGATGACCAAGTGATATTCGTAGTGGATGAAGACAATGCACAATATATGCTAAGGAAATTAAATCAAGAATGTGAAAAGTGGGGCTTGAAAATTAATTTCAAAAAGACAGAGTACATGGTAGGAGGGACAGGAAAATATTTACTAATGGAAAATGTTCCAGTTGTTAAGTGTTGTCAGAGGAAATTAATCATCGCATTCGTCAAGGAAAATCTGCTATTCGGCAATTACATTCAATAATATGGAATAAAAGTATTGATAATAAATTGAAAATTAGAATTTATGAAGCAATTGTGAAAGCATATCACTGTATGGTGCTTCGTTGTGGGATATTTCAAAACACAACGAGAAAAAGTTAGAGGCTATAGAAATGAAGTTTTGGAGACGCAGCTGTATGTAACGTTAATGAAAGAATCAGAAATGAAAATATAAAGCAACAAAAAGGTGCCATTTCAGATAATGGATACAATAGTAGGGAGAAGGTGAAATTGGTACGGACATTTTAGAAGAATGCCGGAGGGAAAATGGCCATTAAAAACTTGGAGATGGCAGGTGTCAATGCACAGAAAGAGAGGTAGACCAAAGTTACATGGTATGACGGTGTGAGACAAAGATCGTCACATCCAAGAAGATAATTGGCAAGATAGAAGAGGATGGAAGCTTGTGTGCGAGAGACGCCGCATAGTGTAGAAGAAGAAGAAGAAGAAGAAGAAGAAGAAGAAGAAGAAGAAGAAGAAGAAGAAGAAGAAGAAGAAGAAAAGGTTGGAACATGTATCGGCGTCTTTCTAAAACTACAGTATAGAAGATAAGGAATTGTTCTTGAAATGAAATATGTTCTCCATAATTGGTTTTTTAATACCAAGCAAATTTTGTTTGAAAATTTTACTAGTTTTCACGAAATTCTGAGTGAACTATTGGCAATAAAAAAAATAATTAAAAATGAATGGTGCTGCAGAATGACACAGACTTTCTCTTACTAATTTTTCTCCTTATCTCTTCAGTCTGGGGTATCTTTTCGGTTTTGCCCCACCTTTATCTGAGCTATCATCTATTGACGCCTAAATGACATTTTATGTTTTTTTTTCGATTTTTCAGATCCCTAATAATAGATATGAAATATGACTTAAAGAATATTATTGAGGGGTAAAATCTGGTCCTATATGCCCATTTGCATTGAAAAATTTGGAGCCGTTTTTAAGAAAATGTTGTTTCAGTGTTTCTGATAATGCGCGTTTTGAAGTTCATTTTCACTCAAATGTTTCGAATATTCGAAAACCTCCATAAGAAATTATATAAAGCAAATGTACTCACCAAAGCGACAAAGTATAAATAATATCGGTAATATAAATATTAAAGAGTAACAGATATTTAAAAAAATACATTTGTGTAATTTTTCAAAAAACGAAAGAAATAATCAAAGTGGCATTTATGTTATGCAGTGCATTGCAGTGCAAGTTATGCAGTGCATTTAGCACTATCTGTACAATAAGTTATATGAAAAGATTTGGAGACTTTTTTGACAAAATTTTGGAGCGTTCTGAAAATGTGGAATTTTGAGATCCTTTTCACAGAATAGCAATATAATTTCGAAAAACTATAGCACAACATTAGCATTTATACTTACTCATGCAATAATGTATTCAAATATCTATTAACTTGACGTATTGACGACGTAGGAGATATTTAAAAAAATAATTTGTGTATTTTTTAGAAAAAACAACAAAAGAATATAGAAAAATGGCGGTTATGTCATCTGTATAAATGCATTTATCGGTATATCTTAAAAAAATTGAAAAAAACATTGGAGATGTATTTGAGAAAATATGTTATTTTTTTTCAAAAAGGCAATTACAAAATAGCGTTTTTCGAAAATCTGTAGCCCGCATGTTAATTTGTATCTAAGAAAAATGTTTTATACAAAATTTGTAGGAAAATTATCCTCTTTAAGATTTATCGGAATCATTTTTCTACGGATAAAGAGCTATAGAGAAAAAACGAAACAAGTCAAAAAAAAAAAAAACACGTTTGTAATTAGTTCAGGGTTTAGGAGATCGACAACTTGGAGTTTTAACTAGTGCCTGGGTACTTACAACGTGCTTAAAGAAAAATATTTATGTACCTTTTCCCCTGATCCTTGTTGACCTTTAAACGTGAAACCAATAACTTATTTTTTTGGGGGGTTCTTTACATGAAGACTCTGGGATATTTTCAAAATTTAAAAGAAATGGTGCCATAGTTTTTTGATTAAATTTTGTTGTTGGATAGTCAGAAGGACGTTTAAGAGAATGGCGTAAGTCTCATGCTGGTTAAAATCCATGATTTTTCGACAATTAAAAAAAAATCAAAAAAATCGGCCTCTTCCTACAACTACAATTATGAAGATACAATTTTTTTCTTAATGAAATATGTTCATCACAAACAGATATTCAGATAAGATACTGGTGAGTTTTTAGAAAATATGAGTATTTTTTGAGTAATTGGGCGTCAAATTTAGTCATCCGCTCTGAAACTCCTGCGCTTCGTGATGGTAATTTTAGAGGTATTTTGAGACGTTTTGATGCTACGTAAGTTAGAATTTGTATATTATTTTATATTTATTTGTTCGTTTCTCACATTGGAGCTTTTGTTACACGTTTACAATCTAATTTTTTAGAAATTATTAAAAACATACACACACACATACACATAACACAATCGAGTTAGTACCATTTATAACTCAAGAACGGCTGGACTAATTTTAATTATATCTAATTTGTTGGATTCATTTTCGCCGCGAATAGCAGAATAACTATTAAAACATGGAAACAATTTCACGAAAAAGAACAAAACTAAATATTCACATCAAATGCAACCCGCACCACACTACCGGATTTTGTATTCTATATCGTTAAATAATTCCTAAATGAAGTTGTTCCAAGGTCTTCAAAACTACACTTTTGAGGGCAAAGGCATCACAGAAACGTTTCTCACACCGTAGTCGACTAGGTGGTATCTTTTTGAATATTCTACTCCGTTTTTGTTGGTCCCGCGCTTCTCGAAATGACCCCACCTGCTCAGAGGTGTGCAGAATTTTCCACTAAATGGCGGAGAGAGAGGCGGAGAGAGAGGCGGAGAGAGAGGCAGAGAGAAAGACGGAGAGAATCGGAGAGAAACGGAGAGACGGGGGAGAAGGAAAGAGAGACGGAGCGACAGTCGGAGAGAGAGAGAGAGAGAGAGAGAGAGAGAGAGAGAGAGAGAGAGGGAGAGAGGGAGAGAGAGAGTGAGAGAGAGAGAGAGAGAGATGGAATGCAGTTCGATTGTCTGTAAGTGAGAATTTGTTTAGTATGTCATATTTAATTGTATCCTTATATATTATCTTTATATTATATTTATGTTATTTCAATATCATTTGAAATTGCGTCCTTTAATTGTGTTAAATGTGGTAACGAATAGATGAGAGTCATTTTTCATTGTTGAAACCCATTGTTGCAACGCCGATAACAGAGGGTGATAGTGACGTCTGCCTTTCTTTCGCGATAATATAAAACTAATACTTTTATTTATTTGTGGGATTTTATAATACCATAGAGTTTAAATTACTGTTATATATTTTTGATATATTTTCGTTTGTTTGCCAACGCTATCAGTAGCGTATTATTTATTAACTTTTCATTATTGTACTCCCTCGCATACTGCTTACAAAGAATATTGTAAGGCTAAATACTCATCCGATATGTTCGTGAATACACTACATACCTTACACAATGAATTCAATGGCAGAAATATATTTTCATTTAAAAGTTTGATTGAAATATCTGTTTCTTGGAAAAAAAAAAAAAAAAAAAAAAAAAAAAAATCGGAGAGAAATTGTATGTTGTAATTGTATGTTGTATATTGATGTAAATAGTATTACATAACCATTACTAACGGCGAGAAAGTACGTGCTGTTTCAACACCACTAGTTTGTATTTCTTCAGGTGGCATTTGATGATGCGTGGATATTTGACTGCGTATTTGTATTTAAAGAATTGCAGTAAATTCATTTTACTCTAGTTTCCGAGAAATGTCTGCTACTTTCTGAGGGTTGCGCAGGACATTGTTTTTGTAGTGAAGTTCAATGTTCTTAGTGTTTGTGTTTTCTGTTTTTAAAGTATTTTTCACAATGTTCCACATTGCTTTCGTATTGTTTTTTGCTTTGACAATGTGTTGATCATTCGTTAAGTTAAGAATATTCATCTAAACGCAACCCGCATCACACTCGACATGATTATTTTGAATTTATATCATGAAATAACTCCTACGTGAAACATTTTAGGGCATTAAAACGAAATTTTTTAGGCTAAAGGCTTCTCAGTTGTTTTTTCCATCAGTTGTTTGAGACAGAACAGGATCGTCCT